CTCTTCTTGATAGCTAGATAATCGAAATCATCAAATTCGTAGTTTTCATCCAAACTCATCTCATCTTTATTGTTGCAAGGATACATAATTCCTTCACTGTTTGGTGCTTTTCTCTTAACGAGATTCAGATAACTTCTGAAAACCTTCTTTTGTTTTTCATTGGGAATAACTATTCCATCAGTAAAACTTTTTACCCAAGGTTTCTTAAATTCATTCGTTACGTCATGTCCACTAGCTAATTGAATGTAGTCTTCTACCGTAATCTTATAGTTAGAGTAACGTTTTCTTTTCTTTTAAAACACCATCGGAAGTTAGAATGATATTGTATTTTACTTTTGGCGATAAATATAAACCAAATATGATTCCACCATCACCGTAATCATTCTTCCCTTTGCTATATTCGTTTTCAGACACCAACCCAGCTTCATTTAATTTATCCCAATTACTAGACGAAATGTATAAACTATCGGTATCTGTATAGTATATTTCCGGCTTATAAAATCCATCTATGACGTGAATGAAATTGTTCATTATTTTTTTACTGTGAGATAATATAAATGCACCTAAATGAGTGGGTGTTAATCTAGTATAATCCTTTGGAGGAACAAACTCTTTTTCTTCTTCATTCATCTCAACTATAATTGACTATCATTTACTTTTTCATAGCTTTTGATGTGTGAATCGAAGTTGGCTTTAAAAGTCGCTTCACTCCATAGATGTCTCGATGTATTTATATCCTTCGGAATAGATTTACCGTATAAGGAATTACCTAATAATTTCATGCAATTACTAGCAACCATATCTCCTTCTTTTTTGTATTTATTCCTTAATTCCTTCAAAATTAAAATATAATCTCTGTATGGTGGAGTTTTAAAATTTTCTTCGTATACTATACCATCTAATATTCTAATAATTTTACCACCGGATTTCACTATTTCTTGAATATCAACTGATGTTAAAACGTCGTGACAGAAACCATTTCTGAACCTGATTTTAGTGCCAGTTTCCTTCTGACCTATTCTATTCGTAAAAGTTATTTTATCTTTAGCTGGTATGGGTTGAAAGAACATTTTTTGGGGATATTCAAACCAAACTTTTAAAATAGCAGTTCCAGGTCTGAATTTTTGTTTATTGAAGAGTTTTACAAATTCTTTTTCTTCTTCTGGTAGAAACGCTCTTGCACTTTCCGCTTTAGGATATTCACCTTCTGTCATGGCTGAAGCGTATAACCCATTAGCGTCAAATGCCATTAGTTTAGAATAGTCCAGTTCTTTGAGTTTAGCGTGAACTTCCGTTTTATCTTTTGGGTTAACACTGTATTCTTTGAATAAATCTATTATTCCTTCAGTGTTACTTTCATTGTATTCTTTTAATATGGCGCAGATCTCATTCATTTTATTCGTTTCAAATGATTTTCGATTTGCCGAAACTCTTCCTCCTTTAATACTTTGTCTGATAAGATATCTTATAAAAGGGTGAGTATGCGAGTAAACTTTTTCTACGTTTTGTTTTTCCGTATGTTTCGGAACCATTCTAGTACTTTCATACCATTCTTCTTCAACCATTTCTTTATCGTAATGATATAAATAATACCAACCCTTTAAAGATAAAGAAGGAGCCGTTAGATTATTGGAAACGTTTTGGAAGACAGTTTTTTCATGGCTTGATTGTATTTTATCAAACAAGCTCCGAGACATAGAGTATCTCTTTTAGCGTAAGGTTCCCATTCGGGTCTTAAAGATTCCCAATTATCTTTAGTGTATTTTGCAATATTAACATCCTCGATCTTTCTCAAATTCATTGGTAGATTAGATGATGTTCCCCATGCTGCCAAACTAGATGATTCATGTTGATAGGAACATGTGAAATTAATATTTTGCAAATAATTAGAGTTACCCTTTAATTCTTTCTGTCTTTTCCATTTTTTCTGTAAATATTCATCAGTGAATGAATTAGTTAAAGGTAGAGACAGAATTCCTCTAGCTGTTTTTAAAGGGCATTGTGTTAGTTTTTTTACGTTTTTGATCATGATCCAGTTATCAAATCCACTGCCGTTATGGGAAATTAAGGTTAGTCTTTTCTCATCTACTTTTCCTAAACGTTGTAACATTTGATCTATACAATCTGTACCTACAAATATTTCTACTATATTAGTCATGAGTTTGTTGTAAAATTCTTATGAAATGGGATCTGACGGCTTAAAATCTACAGTCTCATTAAAATCACTTAAATCACGTAAGTAATTATTATAATCATCTAATCTTTTCCTCAGTTTTTCCAAATTGACTAAAGTACAACAATAAGGAATGGCTTTATTCGTTTCTTTTTCGCAATAGGTTTCGCAATCCCATGCGTATAAACAATGATCGGGAATGGTTGGAAAAACGTTTAGTTTTAGAAGTGAAACTTGCGTTACCGCATTATCATCTTCACAAGTTCTCCATACGTTTTCAAAGCTTTGTTATTTCTTCTTATCAAACAGAAATGTTCTTTGTGTAAATAAAAAACCCAATCTAATTCTTCGGTTACTTTCTTTGGTTGAAAATGTCTATGTTTTGGCATATATATTTGAAAATTAGTATTAAATTTTTTATTGAATTCGCAGATTCTAGCAGATGTCATAACTCCTTTTCTGTTTGATTTTTGAAAACTGTTGATGAAATCTTGAAATTCTCTCGTGTAGTCTTTGTTCAAAACATGATTTACGCATTTTACAAAACAGCATCCATCACTTGGTATATAACAATTTATACCGATATATTCTTTTATCTTTTTGAGTAGGCTAACACCACTACCCTTTTTTGATCTTTTTATTTCTTTGAAATTGTTTTTACGGAAAATGATTTTTCCTGTGAAATACCAATCGGAGGCATCTGATTTTTCATCCACTGTAGCGAAGAAATTGACAAAAGTTTTGGTATTAAAACCTACAAATTTCATGTCTTGTTTGTATTTTCCATCTTGAGTTATCTCTCCAACTATTTCAATTTGCCCTTTAAATGTTATAAATTCATTAGAGATAAGGTGAATAACATCGGAAAAAAGTTTATTTGATATGAATTTATTCATATAATTTATTAAGATATGTATTTAAAATTTTTGTTTTCCTTTTATAATAAGCTTTCTGTTTTGATGTTAAACCTAAAGTAATCAAACCACAAGATGAAGTTTGAACGACAGTGAATGAGGCTAATACTGTTGGGACGATGATTGGAAGCATTAATCCACCGGTTACGGCTGTTGCCACCGTTATCCCTATTGTTAAAACTGTACTTAATGTTTTGAAAACAGAATCGATTTTACTCCATGTTTTTCTACATTTGTTGAATTGTTTTAGTTTTTCTTTTAGTTCATTTTGTTTTTCTATCATGTAGTTTTGTCTACTTTCGAGTTCCATTTTTAGGTAATTAAATTAAGTGAATTTCTGATATAGCTACCCCTTTACTAATAAAAAATTGCATATTTACCAAGGATATTTGTTTTTTCGAATCATTAATCTTATTCAGATGAACTGAAAATTTTGGTTTAGTGTTAATATTTAAAAACATAGTAACAAATGCATCATCTCTTATTAAAAATTTTTGATTTTGTTGACTTTTATGCATATCGAGTGAGGTAAATATATCATTATCATCAACAAAATATAGTTTTACGTATTCAAAGTCTGTTGCTCGTAAAAACTGATAAGTGATTATATCTTTTTTTTTTCTGGTTCTGGATTTCTAATAATACTTGCTGATGGTGGAGTTTCCGTTTCCAATATCATATCAAAATCATTCAATGAAAGTACATCTTCTTCATTATCTGGTATGATTAACATTCTAAACCTATCTATATATTTTCCACTCGTTTTAATTTCATATAAGTGTCGTCTCTTGGTGTTTTCATCGTTAATTTCTAATTCTTTAGTTTCTACATTTGTTGTACCATTGATAAACTGAAGAACTTTGCGAGCGTTAAATTGAGGTTTAGATGAAAATCCTGGGTTTTGTCTGAAGAATATTGAATCAACTTTTACCTGAAAAGGAAAAGTTATTTCAATTGTAAGTTTTCCTCGAAATCTAAAATACATTGGTTGATGATGTGCAACATCATCTGGTTCCAAAATTGTTTTGGGATAAATAGTATAATTCGGAACAGAATATATCTTATATTTGCTGTAAATCCATATTTTTTATATTCATAGTCTTTTGATTTATCAGTATTATCAGTAATAAAAGCATCTTCATAACTCAAACTTCTAAATGGAAGATTGAAATAATATGATTCTTTCTTGAGAAACTTTTTTTCTAATGCGAGTATATTTTTGTCCTGTTTTAAAACTAGGTTATTAATAGTGGTTATCTGTTGTTGAATAACACTATCATCAATGTTCTGTATTTGTTGTTGAATATAGGTTTTGATTTCGTCTATGTTTTGTATTTGTTGTTGAATATTTGTTAGTTCTTTTTGTAATTTGTCTTCACTTATACCTGGATTAATATTATCTATTAGTTGTTTAAGATCTATTTTTTGCTTTGTAATCTTATCATCTAAAGTTTGTAATTGAGTCTACTACATTGAATAATTGTTGTTGAATAAAATTTTTTAAACTTGTTACTTCTTGTTGTAATTTAGTATCATCAATAAAATCTTTATTATTTAGTTGACGTTTGAAGAATCTTTTCACATCGCCTATTCTTTCGTTTAAATGTCCTTTATTTACTTCAATTAAATTTAATTGTTCCATTAAATATTTCTTGTGAATGGCATCATTATCGTTTTCCGGAGACTTTAAATTAGTTATGCTAAAATTGTTCATATCTAAATCACCTTGAAGAGGATCTCCGATTTGATCCACAAAGTAAGGTTTCGCTTTATTTATCCACGCTGTAGTGTTAGGTTTTTTAGTTTCTAAAGATAAAGAACCTAATCCAAACTTATTCGCCATTTTTATTGAGTTAAATTTATTACAATTTCTTCGAATTGTTTTCCTAAACTCAACTGATATAAAACCCAAAGTGAAAGCTGACCACAAAACTTTTGTCCCGGTAATTGAATTTGAAATGTCGAATATTTGATTGGTTTATTAGTCAATTGGATTATCTCTTCAGTGGGTTCTAATCCATAAGAATCGAAGAAATAAAAGTCCGAGTCTTTGTACAAAGCAGAATGATGAACTCCTTTTTGATCGGAAGTATGTATATTTGTTATAGCGTAAAATTTACCTTTCTTATATTTGAGATCATTTATTTCATCTCTCATACAATAATAAAACGGTGATATATTTAACTCATTCGCCCATTTCATAAGTTGAAAGTTTGTGGTTGTATCGGTTCCATATTTATCGAGAAATTCATTCATTTTTAAAAGTCGGTTTTTTTTTAAATATATACATAGTTTGTGTTTGAAAAAAATTGTATTACATTCTGATAAAATACATTCAATAATATTTTGAACATAAATTTGCATTTAAGAAAGCGTAAATGCTTGTCTACATCTCTTAATCTTCTATCAAATTCTTCATCTTTCATTTTTAAAAGTAGGTTTTTTGAAGTTCATTTTGATAAAACCTTCCTATGATTTGTTCTTTGTCTTGATCGATTAATTCATATGTCGGAGGTGATGTGGTGTTTACTTTATCAACGATAAATATTTCGTTCGTCCAGTATCCAACGTAACCTTTTTCGAATTTACTTTTATATTTGAAAATACGAACTCGATCTTCAACTTTAAATTTGGGTTTGATATTTAAATTCTTTATTTCATTTTCGTAGTTATGTTGCGCGTTAATTGACTTTATAATATTTGGATTACTCGAGGCTTGTGTTGGTGTGATACCTATAGATGAATGAATTTTGTTATTGTATTCGTCGACAACAACTGGTAATATTTTAAGCCATTTTTGGGACTTCAATTCCGTGAACTTTTTGAATAATTTATTTTTTAGAGTCCTGTTAAATCTTTCAATAACTACAGCTTTACCTTCGTTATGCGTACTGTAAATTTCAAATCCCAGAGATTTCATATTTTTGTTATAAAATTCACTTCCTTTATCTACCCATAGTTTTTCTGGATGACGGTTAGATTGTTTCATAATCGTTTCAAATGCGTGTTTGACTGATAAACCCGTTTTGTTTTTGAGAGGAATAACCTATGCATATCTCGTATATAAATCTATAACTGTTAAGCAATATTTAAATCCTGTTTCGACTGGCATATGAATTAAATCGGCTGACCATATTTCATCTTTTTCAAACACTTTGACTTTTAAAAAGTTTTCAGTTTTTCTAAATTCTTTATGAATTTCATCCGCCAATCCCATACCTAATTTCATCTTTGCTTTTAACAGCTTAATGATTAATGCTCTTTCCATTCTCTCTTTGAAAGTTGGATTTGGAATATTTTCAAGTTCGATTATCATTTGTTTGTCTGCTTCGTGTCTAAACTTTATGTCTTTGTTTCTGTATAAAATATCATGTTTAAGCGCAGCGGCGTCAACTCTATTGACTGGTTCTTCGCCTGGTTTGGGTTTATCGTTTTCGTCTAATCGCAGATCTAACCTTGTGCCTGGACCGGTGTAATTATGACCGGGAAGATGTTTTTCTCCGGGATATTTCGCCCATGGAAATCCAGGAAGAGAACCCAATGATTTTTGTATATCTCCTGAACCGAAATAAGTTTTTGGAGCGTGAGCGACTATCATTTTTATCCTATAACTTTAAAACCTTTTCCTTTCCTTTCTTCTAATCTCCTGTTTCGAAGTTCTCTTATTAGTTCTAATTCTTTCAAGTCGTTAGATTGTTTCATTGTATCGCTTATACTCTTTCCCACTTCAGCGATTGAGCCGATGGCTTTCGCTCCGCTTTAAATGAGTGATTTGTTTTTTGAAACAAAGCTAGCTACTTTTGGAATTATTGTTTTACCTAGAGAAAATAATGAAGAAAAGATTCCGTCGCCCGAATAATCTTCGAATCTGTGTTGTTCGTGTTTTAGAATTAAACTCATCCTATTTTTAAATGAGTTAATTTAGTCTGTTTTTTACCCAAAAAAGTTATCTCCCATCTACTAAAAATGTTATGTTATTTTATATAAGGTTATTTTTAATATGCTTTTTTTGATGGAATGTAGGAAATTGATTGAAGGTGTTTTTGGTGTATGAAATGTAGGGCTGTAAGAATTTATGTAATGTAGGGAATATAGGTGTAAGAATTTATGAAATGTAGGGAATTTTGCTGTAAGAATTTATGAAATGTAGGATGTTTAGGTCTTTATGGGAGCTTTTAATTAGGGGCGCATTTTCCCCATGAAATGAAATGGAATGGGGAATCCCCTTTTATGCGACCTAAGTGAAAGCTCTAGTACTACTGTGATTTTTGGAACAAAAATATAGAATAAAAAATGGGCAGAAAATTTAATCATTCAGAAATATTTCCTAGTAACCCAATGTTTATATGTATTTGTGGAAGCTCAGGTTCTGGGAAAACTTATTTGACCTTTAACATGTTGACAACACCAAAACTTTTCGATTTCGATTCATTATATATCTACACAACACCAGAGCAATCATATTATCAATTCCTCAAAGCTTAAGAATATTTACCAAAGAAAGATGTTCAAGACATATTTAAATATTATGAAGTCAACGATGAGATAGAAATAAAAGATATCTTAGATACATATATAAAAGAAAAGAATCCATCTTTCAATCCAACGACATAAAAGTTGTTCTTACGAAAAATGTTAATCATTTAGATTTGTCTAAAATTGATAGTGCGCGAAAGAACTTAATAGTGTTTGACGATTGTGTAGCACAAAGAAATCAAGCTGTTCAACAAGAATTCTTCACGAAGGGAAGATTTCACAACTGTCACTGCATATACCAATCCCAATCTGTCTACGGTATGGATGCAATGTTCATTAGAAAAAATGCAAATTGTTTTTTTATTATTCGAATTGAATGACAAAGATTTATCTCAAATTATTCAGTCAATAAATCAAGGAATGGATAGAGATACATTCAAAAAGGATTGTAAAGCACAATGGAGAAACCCAGATGATCATGGATATATATTCGTTAATACTAGAAAACCTGCGGGTGAAAGAGTTATGACAGATATACTGTTAATTTCATTTCTTTAAAATGGGTGATTGGAATAATCTTATAAAAAGAAACAGACAGTATATCAAAGCTAAGAATAAAATAAAGACCCAAGTTGAAAATAGCAGATTACAACAACTTGGATTAACTGAAAATCTACAAACTCTATTTCAACCAATATTAAAAAGTCAAGAAGATATCAAAAAGAGACCCGCGCCTCCCATAGAAGCTTTATCCTATAAAGATCCCCCAAAACCGATTGAATATGGTGGTTTTATAATTAGGACATTAGATTATATAAAACATTATTTTTCAAATCCAAACCCAGATTTACCAAAGAGTATTACACCAATTGTTGATAATGAAGGGTTATTGTTTAATGGATTTAGGATACGATTTACCAATATTCAAAATCGATACAAAAGACTTTATATTTACATCAACAGAAGGAATTAATAGATTTAATGAATGGTGGGGATGTTGATATTGCCGATTACGAGGATAGTAGAATACTCAGAATTTCTACATATGATACGAAAGACGGGTCCCGAAACAAGAAGATTAAAAAAAGTTGATCTATATATAAAAGCTATTAATCAAGATGATGAATATGCTGAAGACTATTCAATCATACAAGAAATAAACGAAGTAGATGATACTTCAATCACACAACAAATAGACGAATTGAAAGAGGAGATAGCTAGAGAAAAAAGTGGACAAGGTATAACGTTTTTATCCGATAATAATGAAGAATTGCTTAATAGATTAGAAATAATATTAGCAGCCATGAAAGAAGGTCATCGTTCAGACAGACAATATAATGAAGTAAATTGTATATTAAATAGACTCCCCGAGAAAGGTATCATAGATTAAAAAATGATTAGAAAAAAGTAATTGATAAAAATATCCAATAAAAATAGTCATTGAAAAAATGCCTAATAAAGAACAATTATTCGTTATCACCTAAATCAAATAAATCAGACATTATATTGTCTCTAGATTATGAGTGCGAACTCGATCGCAATGAAGAATATGAATTGGGATTAAAATATTTCTCTGTTTACAATTCCTTTAGAAATATCAACGAAAATAACAACCAAATGAAAATATCAACAGATGACGGAGCTACATTCAAAACCATAAGTTTACTACCAGGAAGCTATGAATCCATTGCCATAAACGAATATCTATCTGAATATGGAGGAAGTGCAAATGGTAAAAACAATATTGAATTCGAAGGTAATTTGAATCTGAACAAAATAAAATTGATATTGAGAAATAAGAGTCAATTTGATTTCAACATAGAAAATTCTTTGAATACGTTATTAGGAATTGATAAGCAAATATACACACAATCCACCACATAAAGCTAATATCGAGAATGATATCGATGTCATTAATATACACTGTAATTTAATAAACGGTGGATTTTTCAATAAACACAAACGTCAGATTATTCCAACATTCGCCGTTCCAATTGGATATAGAATTATAGAGAAACCATTTCAAACAACATATGTACCACTTAATTCGTTCATGATTAAAAATATAAATCTGGAAATCAAAGATGGTAATAATAGGTTTATTGACTTTGGTAACGAGGAAATTGTAATTCAACTTCATTTAAAACAAAAGTTATTGAGTAATTAATCACTCTTCTTTCGCTTCTTCAATATATAGGTAATAGAAATCATCAAATTCATAGTTTTCATCAAAACTATACTCATCTTTATCGCTATAAGGATTCAAAATTACTTCACTGTTTGGTGGTTTTCTCTTTACAAGATTCAAATAACTTCTAAAAACTTTCTTTTGTTTATCATCCTTTGGAATAACTATACCATTCGTGAAACTCCTTTCCCATCTTTTGTTAAATTCATTCGACACATCATGTCCACTAGCCAACCGAATATAATCTCTACACTTGTCTTATCATTAGAATAACCCTTAAACGTTTTCTTTTCTTTTAAAACACCATCAGAAGTTAGAATGATATTATATTTGACTTTTGGCGCTAAATATAAACCAAATATGATTCCACCATCACCGTAATCATTCTTGCCTTTACAATATTCATTTTCAGATACCAACCCAGCTCGATTTAATTTATCCCAATTTCTAGATGAAATGTATAAACTATCAGTATCGGTATAGTATATTTCAGGTTTATAAAATCCATTTATTACATGAATGAAATTATTCATTATTTTTTTACTGCAAGATAAAACGAATGATCCCAAATGACTAGGTGTTAGTCCTGAAGATTTAGTTGAGTGATCTTCAGCAGTAATCTCATGATACCGTGATCAGAGTTTCACCGCCATGTCATTCGACCCGACCAGATCTACCGAAGAATCAACAACCAAACCAACAATACAGAATCATCCAATTTGATCTAATCCAACTACCAACTACTACGACTTCCAATAACTACCTAGTTTGCGATATCAGCATCTGCTGGAAGCGAACGTTAACTTGTCATCTACCTACCTAGCAGTAATCTCTTTTTCATCAATATCTGTCTCAACGAAATATTGAGTATCATTTATTTTTTCATAGTTTTTAACATGTGAGTCGAATTTGGCCTGAAAAGTTACTTCATTCCACAAATGATTTCTCGTGTTTCTATCCTTCTGAATAGATTTACTGGTATTGGTTGGAAGAACATGTTATAAGGATATTTAAACCACACTGATAAAATAGCTGTTCTAGGTCTAATTTTTTGTTTATTGAAGAGTTTTACAAATTCTTTTTCTTCTTCTGGTAGAAACGGTCGAGCACTTTCTGCTTTTGGATAATCACTGTCTAAATCTGACATTGCAGAAGCGTATAAACCGTTAGCATCAAATGCCATTAGTTTATTACAGTTTATTTTTTTAAGTTTTGAATTAACTTCTGTTTTGTCTTTTGTGCTTGCGCTGTATTCTTTGAATAAATCAATTATATTTTCAATTCATGTTTCACTTCGTGAAATACTTTCAGTATCACTTCGTGTTTCACTTTGTGAATTATCCCATTGTGAAATAAATTCCTTTAATACATTACAAATTTCATCCATTTTGTTCATTTCAAATATTTTTCTATTTGCCGAAACTCTTCCTCCTTTAATAGATCGTCTGATAAAATGTCTTATAAAAGGATTAGTGTGCGAATAAACTTTTTCTATATGTTCTTTTTCTGTATGTTACGGAACCATTCTAGTAGTTTCATACCATTCTTCTTCAACCATTTCTTTATCGTAATGATATGAATAATACCAACCCTTAAAAGATAAAGCTATCGTCTGATAAAATGTCTTATAAAAGGATTAGTGTGCGAATAAACTTTTTCTATATGTTCTTTTTCTGTATGTTGCGGCACCATTCTAGTAGTTTCATACCATTCTTCTTCAACCATTTCTTTATCGTAATCATATGAATAATACCAACCCTTAAAAGATAAAGCTGGAGCCTTTAGATTATTGGACATACTCTGGTTTACAACTTCTTTCGTTACTTGGTTATATTTCATCAAACAAGCTCCAAGACTTAGGGCATCTCTTTTTGCATAAGGTTCCCATTCGTGTCTTAAAGATTCCCAATTATTTTCAGTGTATTTTGCAACATTGAGATCAGGGATCTTTCTCAAATTCATTGGTAGATTAGATGAATAACCCCATGCCGCTAAACTAGATTTTTCATGTTGATAGGAACATGTTAAATTAATATGTTGTAAATAATTGTTATTGCTTGTTATATCTTTCTGTCTTTTCCATTTTTTCTCTAAATCTTCATCTGTGTATGGATTAGATAAAGGTAAAGATAGAATTCTTCTGGGTGTTTTTAGGGGGCATTGTGTTAGTTTTTTTTATATTTTTAAGCACGATCCAGTTATCAAAATTGCTACCGTTATGAGAAATTAATATTAATCTATTTTTTATCATATTGACCTAAACATTTCAACATTTGATACAATCTGTACCTACAAATATTTCTACTATATTCATTAGTTTATCATAAAATTCTTCTGGAACATTATCTTTAGGATTTAAATCTGGGAAGAGATTATTTATTCTGTCTAACATTTTTCTTAGTTTTTCTAATTAATTAACGTACACGGATAAGGTTTTGTTTTACGCGTTTCACTTTCTGAATATGTTTCACAATACCAAGCAAATAACCCACCATCACTCATACTTGAAAACACGTTTAGTTTCAGAGGTGAAACCTGTGTTACTGAGTTATCATCTCTACACGTTTTCCATTCTTGTTCATAATTATCTTCTATTTCTTTAATACCCAAACTTTTTTTATTTCTTCTTATAAGACAGAAATGTGAGTTGTGTAAATATAAAACCAAATCTAATTCCTCTTTTACAATTGTGGGGCGCAAATTTCTATTATTATGAGTATAAATTTTAAATGAAGTAAAACATTCCTTATTGAATTCATTAATTCTAGCAGATGTCATCACTCCTTTTCTATTTGCTTTTGAGAAACCAGTGATGAAATTTTGAAATTTATTTGTTAAATCTTTGTATAAAACATAGTTTACACATTTGATAAAAAAAAGTTACCATCTACCATTTTTACCTCTGTATTCATTTATTTTTTTGAGTAGTTCAATTCCTCTTTCAACTTTTGATCTTTTAATTTCTTTAAAATTGTCTTTAAGTAAAAAGATACTTCTGTAAAGTACCAATCAGAAGGGTCAGATTTTTCTTCCATATTTCTAAAGATAGTATGAAAAGTTTTGGCTTTAAAACCATGAAGTTTCATAAATTGTTTGTGCTTTCCATCTTGAAATATCTCTCCATCCATTTCAATTTGTCCTTTAAATGTTAAAAATTTATTGGAAACAGCCTTGATGATATGTGAAAATAACACGTTTTCTTTGAATGTTTCATCATCATTAATTTCAATTGAATCATTCATATTTTTTATATATGCTTTTTTAATTATCTATTTCTTTAACTTTTATTGCTGATGTTTCCATCTCAAATTTTTTAGAATTTCATTGAATTCTTCTAATTCTTCAATGGTTATGTTCTTATCTTCTGTTGATCTTTCGAAAAATATAAATAATTTATTAAGATAGGCATTTAAGATTTCTGTTTTCTTTTTATAATAAGATTTCTGTTTTGATGTATAATCTATAGCAATCAACCCACAAGATGAAGTTTGAATAGCAGTAATTGTTGCTAATAAAGTTGGGATAACTACTGGAACCATTAATCCACCAGTTACAGCCGTTGCAACTGTTGTTCCTACTGTTAGAACCACACTCAGTCTTTTGTAAACAGAATCAACTCTAATCCATCTTTTCTTACATTTATTATATTGTTTTACTTTTAACTCGTTTTGTTTGTCTATCATATATTGTTGTCTACTTTTGAGTTCCATTTTTAAGACATTAAATTAAGTGAATTTCTGATAAAGAAAAAGATGGATATTGTTCAATATTTACAATAGGGAACCCTTTAATCTCTATACCTCCTCCTATTATTTTTCGTTCATCTGTTATCATTACTTCGGGTGTATAAATAGTAACATTTACAGATACTAATGATATTTCTTCTTTCGAATCTTATTTAGATGAACTGTAACATTTTTTTTCTCAATATTAATCTCTATACTACATCTACAAGTATATATACCACCAACTTCTTTATTACTATCCCCTTCATGACGTTCAATTACTGATGAAAATATTATAAATTCTTTATCTTGTTGACTTTTGTGATAATATTTTCGTACATTGAGTGAAAAACTAGTATTAACAAAATATAGTTTTACATATTCAAAGTCTAATGTTCTTTAAAACGTATAACTCTTTATTGTGTGTGGTTTTTGTGGAGTTGGATTTCTAATAATGTTCATCGATGGTGAGATTTCCGTCTTTAATATCATATCAAATCACCTATTGAAAGAATATCGTTGTCATTGTCTGGTATTATTGACAATCTAAAGGTGTCTATATATTTTCCATTTGTTTTAAATTCATACATATGATTAGGCTTGTTGTTTTCATCATTAACTTCCAAATCTATATTTTCAACATATTCACCGTCATTGATAAATTCGAAAATCTTAAGAGCGTTAAAATAGTTAGATGGATGAGAGAAGAAGATTGGATCGATTTTAACTTTTACAGGAAAAAAAAATTTCAATTAGAGATTTACCTCGGAAATTAAAGTTTCCTGAATCATCAAATATGTTTTTAACGTTTCCACTTATATATAAAAAATACTTTTATTTTTAATATAAATCCATATCCTTCCAACTGATATGTTGTTTCACCTGTAGGAGTACGCTCAGTATTTCTCACACAGAAAAATGGATGATTGAAATAATATGATTTTTTATTTTCCTTGAGATGTTTTTCTAATGCGGCTATATTTTTTTCCTGTTTTAAAACTTCGTTATTAATAGTAGTTATCTGTTGTTGAATCTCACTATCATAAATATTTTGTATCAGTTGATTAATATGTGTTACTTCTTTTTGTAATTCAGTTTTAAATTTAGTTTCTAGAGCAGTTGGTTCCTGTTGCCATTTGTCTTCACTTATACCTGGATTAATATTATCTATTAGAATCATTTTTTGTTTTTTAATCTTATCATCTAAATTAGATATTAATGAACTTAAACTTTGAAACTGAGTTTCATCTACTACATTTAGAAGTTGTTGTTTAATAGCATCTATTTTGGTTTCTAATTCAGTTAATTTTTCTTCACTTATACCTGTTTAATATTATCTATTAATTGTTTAAGGTCTATTTTTTTGTTTTGTATCCATTAAATATTGCTTGTGAACAGCATCATAATCATTTTCTGGCAACTTTAAATTAGTTATGGTAAAATTATTCATATCTAAATCACCTTGAAGGGTGTCTCCAATTTGTTCCACAAAATAAGGTTTTGCTTTATTTATCCATGCTGTAGTGTTAGGTTTTTTAGTATCCAAAGTTAAAGAACCTAATCCAAATTTATTCGCCATTTTTTTAAGTTAAATTTATTACAATTTCTTCAAACTGTTTTCCTAAACTTAATTTATATAAAACCCAAAGTGAAAGTTGACCACAAAACTTTTGTCCCGGTAATTGAAATTGAAATGTTGAACATTTGATTGGTTTATTAGTTAATTTCACTATCTCTTCAGAGGGTTCTAATCCAAAAGAATCCAACAAATATAAGTCATTTGAAGAGTCTTTGTACAAAGCAAAATAATGAACTCCTTTTTGATCGGAGGTATGTATATTTGTTATACCATAAAATTTACCTTTCTTATATTTGAGATTATATTTTTCATCTTTCATACAATAATAAAACGGTGATACATTTAACTCATTTGCCCATTTCATAAGTTGAAAATTTGTAGTTGTATCAGTTCCGTATTTACCAAGAAAGCTAGTCAGTTTTTTTAAGTTCGTTTTGATAGAACCTACCTATGATTTGTTCTTTGTCTTGATCGATTAATTCATATGTGGGAGGTGATGTGGTGTTTACTTTATCTACGATAAATATATCGTTGGTCCAAAATCCGAAGTAGCCTTTTCAAATTTGCTTTTATATTTGAAAATACGAACTCGATCTCCGACTTTAAATTTGGGTTTGATATTTAAATTGTTTATTTCATTTTCATAGTTATTTTGTGTTAATTGGCTTTATAATATTTGGATTATTTGTGGCTTGTGTGACACCTATAGATGAATGAATTTTGTTATTGTATTCATCTACAACCTCTAGTAATATTTTAAGCCATTTTCGGGATTTCAATTCCGTGAACTTTTTGAATAATTTGTTTTTAAGAGTTCTATTATATCTCTCAATAACTACAGCTTTACCTTCATTATGTGTGCTGTAAATTTCAAATCCTTGAGTTTTCATATTTTTGTTATAAAATTCACTTCCTTTATCTACCCATAACTTTTGAGGTCGTCTGTTGGATTGTTTCATTATTGTTTCAAATGCGCGTTTGACTGATAAACCTGTTTTGTTTTTTAGAGGAATAACCCAAGTATATCTTGTGTGCAAATCTATAACGGTTAAACAATATGACCGTTATATCCTCTTTCGACATATTAAATAAATCAGCTGACCATATTTCATCTTTATCAAACACTTTTAAAAAATGTTTGTTTTTTCTAAATTCTTTGTGTATCTGCTATTCCCGATGATCTTTTCACTGCATCGCTTATATTTACTCCTGCTTTTGCTACAAATCCAAGAGCTTGCGCTTCAGATGAAATGAGGGATTTGTTGTTTGAGACAAAGTTGGCTACTTTTGGGATGAGAGATGATAGAGCTGAGAAGAAACCGTCTCCTTCGAATTTGTGTTGTTCGTGTTTTAAAATTAAACTCATTCTGTTTTTAAATGAGTTAATTTGAAGATATTATAGGCGTGGGGTGCTTGGGGGTTGGTAAACGGGTTTATTAAGCGTGCCTGGTGGGGTTGTTTGTTTGGTGGGCTTGTGGGCGCTGCAGTCAAATAGAGTAGTATAAGAGGTTATAGATAGGGGGCGGTTTTTATAAATTATAAAAAAAGTGCCCTCTATCTATAACCTCTTATACTACTAACCCCAACAGCTGCCAAACGCCCAAAAGAAATTGTTCCATCCACTACAAGACAATGGTCAAAACGTGATTTGCCATCATCTAAATCTAAACGTTTTGACTTGAATGTACCAGACACCGATCTTTCAAATTTACCTAAAGATCCTATAGAACTATTCGAATTGTTCTTTGATGAAGATGTTTTTGAATTGTTTACAACCAAAACACTCCAATATGCTAGATCTAAGGGTAATCATGCTTTCACAACTACTGTAGGTGGAATGGAAGCTTTTATTGTGATCTTACTTATCTCACGAAGACGAATGTATTGGTCATATGGCAAGGATATCCACAATGAAGCAATATCATCGGCTATGTGCAGAGATAGGTTTGATGAGATCCAGAGATATCTGCACCTCAGTGACAATAATCAGCTGGATTCACATGATAGGTTCAGTAAGGTTAGGCCACTTTTGGATTTGCTGAATGAGATGTGGGTATTAACAACCCTAATTGGATACGCAGTTCAATTTGAGCCTTATCAAGGTGCATTTGGTCGACGGGAGTATGCTGGTTTAGGAATGGGTGGGTCCGTTATATTCAACTTAATATCTAACCTTCGAAATGATTATCCTTACCATTTGACTTTTGATAATCTGTTTACCTCCCTGAAACTTGTGGACGCACTATCTGCTAAAGAAATAGCATGTACGGGTACGGTTAGATTGAATCGCATTGAAAATTATTAGTTAGTTGTTGGTTAGTAAAATGGCAAGAGAGTCATTTGATTTTGCATACGATTCTTCTGTGGGATTAATTGTTCGGTGGAATGACAATAATGTTGTTTCAAGTTACGTCGGTAAACATCCAATACAGACAGCAAAAAAGTCTCCAAAATCATTGAACTTACACAACCATTTCTGATTTCCCACTTCAACAAAACCATGGGTTGGGTTGATCGCTTGGATCAGAACATAGGCCAGTATCGTTCTGCTATACGTTCGAACAAAATGGTGGTGGCCCATTTCCAATTACTGCCTTGATCTATGTGTTCAGTAAGCTCGGCATCTGTACACGGCTACAGATGTTAGCAAAGACCAGCCTTTAAACTTGCTGGAAATACGACGAACTATCGCTCAAGTATATGTTAAACGATCTTCCAGGCAGGCTAGAGCTCGCGGTCGACCATCAAGTCTCCACAAGACAGTGCCAAATGCTCTTAGATTGGATGGTATAAATTACTTTGTTTGGTCTAATGCTATAAATTGAGATGCGCACATTGTGGTCATAAACTAAAGATATATGATGTAGGGGTGCATGATAGGTGTTTTTCATACCGCTTATTATCATCTGTTCATGTAGTGATTTAGAAACTGAGATCTTTGGTGATGGCTTTGTTATAGACTTTTGCAAATATGTAGGCCTATCCATAACGACAATAACGATTATGAAAATTTGTCCACCTTGGTTTAAATTTTCTTTATCATGCCGCGAACAAATCTAATTATATTACCAAATCAAATGCATATTTACTTAAATTATATTGGTATTCAACTTAGATGTTATTAAAAAATTGAATACAATTGTAAAATATTGTTTTTAACTCGTATTGGCACCCACATAATAGTTTACGTACATGTACACGGTCAGTCCTACCGTCCCATATATGGGGCATACCATTCGTATCATAATCTGAGACAAATTTTGGCCAGAATTGAAAATATATTAAAGTTACGTGCTTACATGACACAAACTTATAATTGATAATTTGGTCTCTACCAATCTGCCGTAAAAATCGAATAAAAATTAAAGAAGTTGGTGACAAAATTTTCAAATCAGGATTTTCTGAAACTGCTGTCTGCTTGGAAGCAAACGTTAGCGTGTTTTATGGTGGATTTTTGAAATTAGGGAGTTTTCCACTACATCATTCTGGTTGGAGTTTGATGTCTGGAAACATATTTAAAAGGTAATTCCGTGGTCTAAAATGTCTGATATGCCGACAATGTTCTAACTATTTCAGGTGTTGCAAGGTGGGACTTACTCTGACAATAATTACAAAAAACTAGAACTGTGGCAACGAGACCTTATCCCATGGCTTATGAATATTTGTTATGGCAGAAAATTTACCTTTCTTAGTCTTGAGATCATTAATTTCATCTCGCATGCAATAATAAAACGGTGTTATATTTAACTCATTTGCCCATTTCATTATGGCGTGTCCCATACATTTTATCGCAGTTCTCTTATTTGCTGTAATTCTTTAAATTCATTAGACTTTTTCACGGCATCATTTATTCTGAATCCAGCTTTGGCAACAGAACCGAGAGTCTTCACTTCAGAAGAAATAAGCGATTTGTTGTTTGAAACAAAGCTGGCTACTTTGGGAATTAGAGAAGTTAGTGATGCAATGAAACCATCTCCTGAATAATCAGTTTCGAATTTTTCTTGTTTGTTTTAGAATTAAAGACATCTTATTTTTAATGGGGTTATTTTATAATTATTATTTTAGGGGGAGTATAGATTTGATGCATTTTTCTGATTCGATGGAAATTTGAAATGCGTATAGATTTAACGCTTATAGTATTTAGAATGTGTTGAAAAATGGGTATAGATTAGATGCATGTAGTATTTAGAGTCTTTTCCGATCCGGTGCATTTCTAATACATATAGCAGTTGAGAGTTTTTTCTAATCCGATGTATTTCTGATGCATATAGTAGTTGAAGTCTTTTCTGATCCGATGTATTTAAAATGCTGCGCATGCGCAGTGGTGAAATGCATCAGATCAGAAAAGAATATACTACTCAGAACACTAGCTTTCGATTTCTGAATAGCACAATATTATGTTCTAAATCTACAACTATTGATGAAGTGAAAACCGTTTATATTTTCAGGATTCTTCACTATTCATAAGTTGTGATAACTCTGTACATGCCGTCTTTTTCATCTTTTACCCATGTCAATTTCATCATCGGTGGTAACTTATCTACAAAATAAAAACATTTTTCAATTTCTATCTCAAATAGAGAAAAAAAAACATACAGTGAAAAATAAAGCAATTTCTTTTTATCTCTTCAAAGTGAGCACTGGGGTCATGTCATCCCTTATTGACTTTTTGCATTTTTCAAGATGGCAGCTTAACGGTTAGGATTTTGCAAAAATTTGGCGGAATTACAATTTGGAAGTATTTTCAAAACATATGTTTGTTGTTTGATAAGTATGATTTTTATCAATTTCGGACCTTTTTCGGTCATTTCCGATCATTTTGGAAAATGTTTTTGCATAATCATAATTGATAATTTGGTCTCTTAAAGAAGTTCGAATTTTGACCAAAGTTAGTGACAAAATTATCGAATCAGGATTTTCTGAAACTGCAGTCTGCTTGGAAGTTCTTTCAAAAATACATATACAAATTTTGAAGCAAACATTTGCGTTTTATGCTTGATTTTTTAAGTTAAGGAGTTGAAAATTACTGACAATTACCAAAAAACTAGAACTGTGAACTGCTTTTGAAACTTTGAAACTTTTAGCGTGTTAGCTTTCAACTCCGTCACTTTTAAGCCTACAGATTTTTAACAAGAAATTAAAACTTAAAAATTTCGTGTATCTGATAAATAAATTTTGCTTTTTGCAGCCGTTGTCGAGTTGGTTGCTCATAAAAATATGGGTCAAAGTGAGAGATTCATAAAGAAAATCGAAACAAATCAATTTTAATTATTTCATAGAATATCTTAAGGAATTTATATAGGTTACACCACTGTATAAGTGTTCAGCCAACTCGTTGACAAAGCTTTATAACTCGTCTTCAACATTCAGACTACTCGTCTACATGACAAAAGACGACCCACAGACAAATGTTACTGAATCAAATCAGTGTTTCAGTTTTTTTTTTAATATTTATTACAAAAATAGTTATCTAATTGATACCGTATAACGATAAACCTCTCAAGAATTCAATTGACAAAAACAACACACGTAGATAAATCAACCTAGTCATATGATTATATGACTATTATCACCAAATCTTGTCGAAGAGTTGACTTTTGTGGACGAGTTCTCCGATAACATTTTGTCGACGAGTTGACTTGTTGACTGGTATTCATATTTTAATCTTCCATTAACATTTATTAAATTATATTTGAGTTCTAATTGAGATAAAATTCCAACGGTTTAATAACTTGCGAATTCACAGCATTAAATGGAGATATTTTTAATTTTGTATGCAGATTTTAAAAAAAATATTGGGTACATTTTTTGAGGGTTTTTCTCTAGCTCACTGATTCGAATGATTACATATCCTCTAAAACGTAACCTAAGATGATAAAAGTGATTCCAGTCAATTAGTTAGTCAGTCTCTCAAATCGATTTTAAATTTAGTTATCCAAGCGGATTATTGTATTTCTGAAAACTGAACTGAACACAAATTGGACCAACGAAATCCATTTACACGATCAATCAGGTTGTCCTGATCCACCATTAAAACACACATACACTTGATACAAAACAAACAACAAATTACAATTAAAAATATATATCATTCAAATAATGGACATTACTTATCTATTGAGATAGAGATACACACCTTCTAGACATTATACATCTATTGAGAAAGAAATACACACCTTCTAGACATTATACATCTATTGAGATAAAGATACATACCTTCTAGACATTATACATATATTGAGAAAGAAATACACACCTTCTAGACATTATACATCTATTGAGATAGAGATACATACCTTATAGACATTATACATCTATTGAGATAGAGATACACACCTTCTAGACATTATACATCTATTGAAATAGAGATACATACCTTCTAGACATTATATATCTATTGAAATAAAGATACATACCTTCTAGACATTATACATCTATTGAGATAGAAATACATACCTTCTAGACATTATACGTCTATTGAGATAGAGATACACACCTTCTAAACATTATACATCTATTGAGATAGAAATACATACCTTCTAGACATTATACATCTATTGAGATAGAGATACATACCTTCTAAACATTATACATCTATTGAGATAGAGATACATACCTTCTAGACATTATACATCTATTGAGATAGAGATACATACCTTCTAGACATTATACATCTATTGAGATAGAGATACATACCTTCTAGACATTATACATCTTGAGATAGAGATACATACCTTCTGTACATTATACATCTATTGAGATAGAGATACATACCTTCTAGACATTATACATCTATTGAGATAGAGATACACACCTTTTCTAGATATTAAACATCTATTGAGGTGGAGATACATACCTTCTAGACATTATACATCTATTGAGATAGAGATACATACCTTCTAGACATTATACATCTATTGAGATAGAGATACATACCTTCTAAACATTATACATCTATTGAGATAGTGATACATACCTTCTAAACATTATACATCTATTGAGGTGGAGATACATACCTTCTAGACATTATACATCTATTGAAATAGAGATACATACCTTCTACACAATATACATCTATTGAGATAGAGATACATACCTTCTAGACATTATACATCTATTGAAATAAAGATACATACCTTATAAACATTATACATCTATTAAAATAGTGATACATACCTTCTATACATTATACATCGATTGAAATAAAGATACATACCTTCTGGACATTATACATCTATTGAGATAGAGATACATACCTTCTAGACATTATACATCTATTGAAATAAAGATACATACCTTCTAGACATTATACATCTATTGAGATAGAGATACATACCTTCTAGACATTATACATCTATAGAGACAAAGATAATACCTTCTTAACATTATACATCTATTGAGATAGAGATACATACCTTCTAGACATTATACATCTATTGAGATAGAGATACATACCTTCTAGACATTATACATCTATAGAGACAAAGATAATACCTTCTTAACATTATACATCTATTGAGATAGAGATACATACCTTCTAGACATTATACATCTATTGAGATAGAGATGCATACCTTCTAAACATTATACATCTATTAAGATAGAGATACATGTACACACCCTCTACACAGTACGTGATAGTTTAGTAAAAAAAAGAAATTTGACCATTGGTCGAAAAAATGATTGGAATGATATTTTTATTATGCTGAGACATTTTTTCCGTTTGAGGTAGAAAGAATGATTTATAAATTGTACTGACTTTCACAAGTAGGACCAGTATATTTATATCTACAACGACATGTTCCATCAGGCTGTTCTGTTCCACCATTTTTACAAAGATTCGCTTTTTCTAAAACAAGGAGGTTGAAGGTTGAAGTTTTTTATTGCAAAAACTGTAATTGTCAAAAACGTTTGAAACACGTTAATCTCGGGTCCTAGGCTTCCAGTTACACCAATCTGTCATTCTGTATTGTATTAGCCTTTTATTGTCACTTAGCACTTCAGGAAAGTAAAAACAAAAGCCAATAAAAATACGTTCTACTTGTTTTGAAAAAATTCGACACTAGTACCATGAAAAAAACCTCTTAGTTTTTATTTGAAAATAATCTATCAATGGTACTAACCTTCACAAGTAGGACCAGTATATTCATCTGTACAATCACATCTTCCACTAGGCTGTTCTGTTCCACCATTTTTACAAGGATTCACTTTTTCTAAAACAACAAGGTTGAAGTTTCTTTTTTGAAGAAGTAGTTGTCATATGTGTTTGTCAGATCAGAGTGTTTCAAACATTGATTTGAACAATTCGATTATGACATTGTTACCTTGTATCATACGAGATATTTAAGTTTTTATTCGAGTAGAAATAAAATAATTTATAAATTGTACTAACCTTCACAAGTAGGACCGGTATATTTATCTGTACAATCACATCTTCCACTAGGCTGTTCTGTTCCACCATTTTTACAAGGATTCACTTTTTCTAAAACAACAAGGTTGAAGGTTGAAGTTTTTTTATTGCAAACACTGTAATTGTCAAAGATGTTTGAAACACGTTAATCTCGGGTCCTGGGCTTCCAGTTAGACCAATCTTCCATTCTGTATTTTATTAGCCTTTTATTTTTACTTAGCACTGCAGTAAAGTAAAAAGAAAAGCCAATAAAAATACGTTGTACTTGTTTTGAAAAAATTCAACACTGGTACCATGAAAAAAACCTTTTAGTTTTTATTTGAGAATAATCTATAAACTGTACTGACCTTCACAAGTGGGACCAGTATATTTATCTGTACAATCACATCTTCCACTAGGCGATTCTGTTCCACCATTTTTACAAGGATTCACTTTTTCTAAAACAACAAGGTTGAAGGTTGAAGTTTTTTATTGCAAACACTGTAATTGTCAAAGATGTTTGAAACACGTTAATCTCAGCTCCTGGGCTTCCAGTTAGACCAATCTTCCATTCTGTATTTTATTAGTCTTTTATTTTTACTTAGCACTGCAGTAAAGTAAAAACAAAAGCCAATAAAAATACGTTGTAGTTGTTTTGAAAAAATTCAACACTGGTACCATGAAAAAAACCTTTTAGTTTTTATTTGAGAATAATCTATCAACTGTACTGACCTTCACAAGTGGGACCAGTATATTTATCTGTACAATCACATCTTCCACTAGGCGATTCTGTTCCACCATTTTTACAAGGATTCACTTTTTCTAAAACAACAAGGTTGAAGTTTCTTTTTTGAAGAAGCTGTAGTTGTCATATGTGTTTGTCAGATCAGAGTGTTTCAAACATTGATTTGAACAATTCGATTATGACAATGTTACCTTGTATCATACGAGATATTTAAGTTTTTATTCGAGAAGAAATAAAATAATTTATAAATTGTACTAACCTTCACAAGTAGGACCAGTGTATTTATCTGTACAATCACATCTTCCACTAGGCGATTCTGTTCCACCATTTTTACAAGGATTCACTTTTTCTAAAACAAGGTTGAAGGTTGAAGTTTTTTATTGCAAACACTGTAATTGTCAAAGATGTTTGAAACACGTTAATCTCGGCTCCTGGGCTTCCAGTTAGACCAATCTTCCATTCTGTATTTTATTAGTCTTTTATTTTTACTTAGCACTGCAGTAAAGTAAAAACAAAAGCCAATAAAAATACGTTGTAGTTGTTTTGAAAAAATTCAACACTGGTACCATGAAAAAAACCTTTTAGTTTTTATTTGAGAATAATCTATCAACTGTACTGACCTTCACAAGTGGGACCAGTATATTTATCTGTACAATCACATCTTCCACTAGGCGATTCTGTTCCACCATTTTTACAAGGATTCACTTTTTCTAAAACAACAAGGTTGTAGTTTCTTTTTTGAAGAAGCTGTAGTTGTCATATGTGTTTGTCAGATCAGAGTGTTTCAAACATTGATTTGAACAATTCGATTATGACGTTGTTACCTTGTATCACACGAGATATTTTAGTTTTTATTCGAGAAGAAATAAAACTAGAACCACTCGTGGTACTGAGTGGGACTTTGCTCATGTGCCAAATTGCTAAAGAATCTGAAAAAATCAACTTTCTTAGCCATTTAGGTCAAGTGCTAAAGCAGTCAAAATTTTTGAAAATTTCTCTTTTTTTTGGAAGGTTGTGAAAGCGGAAGTAGAAGTCAGACATAAAAATATAGTATTATTAGATTTCCAAGGTCAATGACTTTTGACCATGTTAAGGGGAAGGTCATTTAAGGTCAAAGTCACTAGATATGAGTCAACAAACTTTGAAAATACAAACATTATAAAACCGGAAGTTGACGTAAAACATCAAATATGAAGGTATTAATCTTTAGACAAGGTCAATGACCTTCGATCCTACAAAGGTCAAGGTCATCAAAGGTAAAGGTCAAAAGTTGAAAATATGTAAAATTTAAACCCTGTTCCCTTTTTTGAACTACGAAGCTGAAACAACTGACCTTTTCACACCAATGGGTGAGGTAATAGTGTGCAAGGTCCTAGTTTGAACAAATGTATTCTATACAAGTTATACCCCTGATAAAAATGTAAATAATCAGTAATTTAACCCTAATATGCCACGCCCACCTCAACTTTTTTGTCTTAAGTTAATTCATATGTGAAATGTGTCGTTGTGTTCCGAATTCCAAGCTTTTGCAGCAAATAGGTCATAAGATATGCATACATCCAGCTCAAAGAAGCGAAAATATTGTAAAAAAAACACCGAAATTTCAAAAATTCAGAAATGTCAATTTCGAATTAACGATGACACGATGAGCACATTCAGGATCCACAAAAATTAACACTCAAAGTTGATTAGGTCATGGGCTAGAGCAGTCCAAATTTGCGAAACCGGAAGTAGACGTCAGAGGTCAAATATGAAAGCATCAACTGATAGCCAAGGTCAATGACCTTTCACCCAATAAAGGTCAAGGTCATCAAAGGTCAAGGTCAAAAATTGAAAATATTGAATTTCTAAAGCCTGTTCCTTTTTTTGAAATATGAAGCTGACACAACTAAACTTCTAAGACAAAGTGGCTCAAGAGATGAAGTAATTGTATGCAAAGTTTCATTTCTAACAAATGTATTCTTTGTGAGTTATGCCTCTGGCCAAAAATGTCAATAATGAGTAATTTAACTCGGATGTGCCACGCCCACCTCATTTATTTGACACAAGTTAATTGATATTCAAAATGTTAAGTTGTGTTCGAAATGTCAAGCTTCTACATCATGCAGGTCAAAAGATAAAGGTCAACAAAAGTCAAAAAAAGTAAAAATCGAAAATTGAAAATATGGAAATTTTAAAACCCGTTCCTTTATTTGGAACTATAAAGCTGAAACAACATTAACAAGCCAAAAGTATGAGGTAATTGTGTGCAAAGTCCCTTTTTGAACAAATGTATCTTATGCGAGATATGCCCCTGTCCCTAAATGTAAACAATTAGTAATTCAACCCGGATGTGCCACGCCCACCTCAACTTTTTTGTCATAAGTGAATTCATATTCAACATGTTTAGTTGTGTTCCAACCTTCAAGGTTCTACATCAAATAGATCATAAGATATACATACACCAAACTCAAAGAGACATAAATATTGTAAACAAAATACTCAAATTTGAAAAAATCACTAATTTCAATTTTGCTTTAAAAATACGATTGTTATATATCACTGGAAAGAGCATGAGAAGCACATTAAGAATCCGAAAAAAATGAACCCTTTAGGTTAATTAGGTCACGTGCTAGTGCTAGAGAATTTGGCTGTTTTCGGACAGCCATACAACCGGAAGTGGGTGTCGGAGGTCAAATATGAAAGTATCAACTGATAGCAAAGGTGAATGACCTTTGACCTAATGAAGGTCAAAGTCATCAAAGGGCAAGGTCATGAGATATGAGACTTCAAACTTCGAAAAAAATTCAACCGGAAATTGCAAAAAAACAATATTAGTGTCGTTGCTCTATACGAATTACACCGGAAGTTATTCAACCGGAAGTAGATTGAAATTCAGTCGCTTTCCTGTTTAAAAGCGGAAATGACTGTACTATATTATTTACATTAGTGAAGTCTCTCTGCGTTTCAAATTTCAGATCAATCGATGTAAAAACAAAAAAGTTGCAAAAAAATTGAAAAATTTGATCGAAAAAAATGAGCTACGAATTTTCGAATTTCGCAATTTTTCAAGTGCTATCAGGTCAGAAATAACAGGTAGATTGTAAAAATGAAAACCCGAAAAAAATCGATGCAAAAATGCGCCTTCTAAAGCCGATTTTCGACTTTTTGCACATGTGGACCTGTGGCACTTCCGGTTTTGCAAAAATGCTCCAAAAGACACTCATTTACGACGTTGCCGCTACAGAAGGTCTACATATGTAGTAATGTTGATGCAGCTGTTACAGCCTTTGCTTGAAAAGGTGTGGAAAAATCGAAAAAAAAAAAAAAAAAAGATATTTCGATAACAAACTGGGACTTTGCTGATTTATCATTTGTACTAACCTTCACAAGTAGGACCAGTATATTCATCTGTACAATCACATCTTCCACTAGGCTGTTCTGTTCCACCATTTTTACAAGGATTCACTTTTTCTAAAACAACAAGGTTGAAGGTTGAAGTTTTTTATTGTAAAAACTGTAATTGTCAAAGACGTTTGAAAAACGTTAATCTCGGGTCCTGGGCTTCCAGTTACACCAATCTTTCATTCTGTATTTTATTAGACTTTTATTTTCACTTAGCATTGCAGTAAAGTAAAAACAAAAGCCAATAAAAATTCATTGTACTTGTTTTGATAAAATTCGACACTAGTACCATGAAAAAAACCTTTTAGTTTTTATTTGAGAATAATCTATCAACTGTATTGACCTTCACAAGTAGGACCAGTATATTCATCTGTACAATCACATCTTCCACTAGGCTGTTCTGTTCCACCATTTTTACAAGGATTCACTTTTTCTAAAACAACAAGGTTGAAGGTTTTTATTGCACAAACTGTCATTGTCATAGGCGTTTGAAA